GTGCGTAAAAAAGATTTGTATGTGTAAAAAAAATTTGTGCGTGCGTAAAAAAGATTTGTATGTGTGAAAAAGATTTGTGCATGCGTAAAAAAGATTTGTGTGTGGACTTAGCCAAAAAAAACCCTGCAAGTTACAAGTACGAATTTTGACCCTATTTTTCTTCCTTTAAGCTGATTGGTCAATGTCATGTCAATCACAAATTAAACAATCCAATCAGAGAACAGATGGGTTTGGCTGTTGGGGGGGATGCTTTACGGACCTTCAGGTCCTGGAAGGGTTACACAGTTTGAAGATGGAGGACAGCGGTGGCGCTTCTGCGGAGCAGGTAAGCTTTAATTTATGGTTTACTGGAACAAGCTAATTGTCCAGACATATATTTTTGAATATCATGTTCGGTTACTACACTGTAATTTTTCACGGTGCCAAAAGCTAGCTTAAAAAGGGCTCTCAACATTAGCCCTAGTGTTGCATGTGTTCAAATAGTCTCCTGTGTAGCACGGTCTGTCTGCTTAAACATCAGCATCGTGGAGAATTATGTGTTTGGATTTAAGTTTAATCCCGATGAGATGTCGTTTTGGTAATAATTGGAAATGAAATGCTCTGACTTGACCTTAGCACTGGTCCCAGGTCACCCCCGAGTTTGTGTTAGAGTAATACTACAGTAATTACAGTATACAACAACTTTCAGCAGCTACTGAATGTTAGGGGACCTAGCTCAATTTTCAGTAGCTGCTAACGCGTTAACGAGCAAACCCCGCTAACGTGTTACACTGCGCTAACTTGCTAACGGAAAATCGGTTAACGTCATTTTAAGGAGATTACCGCTGACAGCACAAATATATGTGCGTGTATAAAGTATTTGATTTCAATTTTCTTCTACTACTGTAACTATGGCTTAACAAGCTTCCTTAGTGTTCTTTTAAACTCTCACTCATGACTATTAGTTATACTGTTAACTATTTTAATATTAGGTTAATAAGGGAATAGGGATATATCGGGAAACCATATGGTATTGTTTAAATGAAGATGCAGATGTTCAATAACATATAAATATATTTTCAACAGGAGCCAAAGACTGCAATAGAGCAGGCTATACTGAGTCTTGTGGGAATTCTGTCAACTTCCCAGTCTGATATTAGGAGTGGAACTGCAACCACATCTGTTACTGCGACAGTGCCTCAGCAAACCCCAAGAGTGAGCACCCAAATAGAAATGCAAAGGTAAAAAGAAAAAGAAATTTGCCAGTAATGTTACTCCTTTCTTTTTTTTTCTTTTTTTTTTTTGGGGTGGGTGGGTGTAAGTCATCTTTTTATTTAAACAACCTGCTCTGCAAATTACCTATGCACTTGGATCCTCCTTAAACATCATTATGACATTTCACCTTAACAGCAATGCAGTACTTTTCCAATCAGATGAGTAGTCTTGCTTTAATTTGGAAGAAATTGGCAAAGTGTTTAATGCCTCAAATGTATAATCTTATTTACAGGTCATTTCCAGCAATGTTTCAAAGAAGGCAATCCAAAGGAAAGAGGCCTTTCCCAGCTCCTAGTAATGTGATACATGCAGTTCGCAACCTTCAGTTGCAATTCTGTCTTTTGCCTGATTCCACGACAAAAACCCCAAAGAATGAAATACGGCTTCTTCAAGCTGGACTTGGAAGGCGAACTCTCAGCATAGCTGACAATGCTGATCATGAAGAAGTACTTTTCTCAATTTTAGATGCCTTTATCTTGTCAAAAAAAAATCGAATTTTAAACTTCAAAATTAAAATTGAAAAATGTTACAAGTTGACTTGACAAACTAATCATGAGGAAATGTTTAATTTCTTTTAACCCTAATTTAGATTACTGTAGCTCTGCATGAAGAGTATCCGAAGATGAAGGCCCTAACTGGTGGATGGCTCTTGTATAAAGCAGGAGGTAAGTCATTTTAACTCCCCGACTTTGTATCTGAGTTAATAGAAGACATTTACTTAGAGCCAAAAGCATCCGGATAAGTTTTAGAAGAAGCTTTTTTGTCTAATTAAAACATTTCTAACACTTCTTCCGAGAATAACTTATGGAACACTGATATGGCTTTTGTTATTTAGTTTTCAAATTTGTGGGCATGGTCTTTTTTTAGATTAACTCACTTTTTTTGCACATTGTGATTGAAAAGCAATAAAGGCATAAGATGCACATCAATACACTTCTATTGTTTACAGGTATAACATCAACAGTACAGCACCACTTAATTAAAAACTTAAATATTCGGAATATATTTATGAACGAAATATTTTTTTGGTCTAGTGATTCATTTAACATTTTAAGCATTGTTTAAAAATGAAAAGTATAGGTTGCTACAAGGTAGTTTTTAAAGACATTTCTATACAAGAGTAGTATTCCATAATGTTATGGATTTATTTGTACTTTATGATCTCAACTTTTAGAACATTGCTGTATTGCGAATGCATTACTTGGTTTTTGTTCCATATTCTAGGTGGTAGCGGACAGAGAAATCTCTCTCTAGTATCTCAGGGAACACAAGGCTACACAGCCAAGACGCTCAAGATGGCCACCAACAATGGAAAAAATACACTTTATATTGTCCCTCTCCAAGAAAAAATTGATACTACACCTCTTCCACATGATGCTGCAGAATTCAGCAAAATGCCAAAGTCTCAGTGCAAGACCTGTGGTGTGACTATGCCTCTTCAGCTACTTGTTTGTCATGTAGAAAACTGTGTACAAGTAAGCCAAATTCAACAGTAAAACAAACATTGCTACCACCTTTGCTAAAAACGAAAACTTTTTAAGTTGTATTCTTTTTACTACTTTCAAAATGGAAGGACAGAATATTATGCTTTACCCAAGACTAATTTGGGTGAATTTCCAGAGTCAATGTATGTACTGAAATCAGTCGTAAGTTTTGCTCTAAATGTCTGTGAAGTTTCTCAGTTATCCCAGTCATTGTAGTCTAAAGAGTTTGCAAAGAAAACATCTGGACTTCTATAAGTTTCCTTGAAGATGTGCCACCTCTCATCTGAGAAGCTTCTTCGTTTCTTTAGAGCATAGGTGTCAAACTCTGGCCCGCAGGCTAATTACATTTGGCCCGCGAAGCCATACCAAATTACTATGAGCTGGCCTACTGGTATTATACAGCTAATATATATATTGTTTAGTATTAAGCTTTGCTTGTTCCATATTCAGTTTTTTAGCAAAATGTGTTTGAGTCCATAAGAAAAGATTCATTCTTATATCTGGAGGAACAAATATATTTCAATAAATATTAACGTTAGCCCGTTCCAGTTTTGAATTTTGGCCCACTGTGTATTTGAGTTTGACACCCCTGCTTTAGAGCAATTGGTGGAGAGTCCAAAACTTTATGCCCTATTGGAGTGTCCCCATGAGGGGCGTTGATCCCCTAGTTTGCTCTAAATGACAAATCGTGAGCAGCATGTAGCTACCATAAATGTGTAATGTAACATTATATTCCTTTACCAGGAAGCTGCGTGTGAAAGCATGACTGACCAGGCACATCAGAATGAAGTCCAATTGGAGGTGAGTTCCCAGATATATTTAACATTGTAATATGGACAATACAAAATTCCAAGCGGATCTTTGTTCAACTGTTTCATTATTTGCTAATTACCTGTGGCATTCTGTGCTAGATTTTGACTGTTCATCTTTGCTAGGACTAAAATAAATACACTTTTTAATTGCAATATCCTCTTCAGCCTTCTTGTCCTGTTTGTGGAAATCGTTATCCTCCAGATGACTTGGTCTTGCATGCCAGTACATGTGGTGATCGGTAAGTTCATTTTAGTTGGACAACACTAAACAAATGCTATGTGTAGCACATTTATAGTTGCTCTTGCTTCTGTCTTTGCATCATGTCATAGAAGGGGCTCATCCTTACCTAACCTGTTCATCTTCTATGATCATGTTGACCACATGGATGAGCTTTTATCAGTGTTCATCCTGGCATTTTGACAATATACTTTTGCTTCTTTAGAGTGCATTGTTTAGGTGACCTTGTCTTTTATTGACAGTATTCCTGCATGCATGCATGCATGCATCTATCTATCTATCTATCTATCTATCTATCTGGATAGATCAGTGTATATATGTTTAAACACTGATGGGTTTTTTTTTTTTTTGCACCACTTTGGGTAAAGTGAAGTGGATGACCTGCATCACACAGCACATGAAGTCAGAGACACACTTTTCAATTTTGCTGCTGAGATGAACACTGACATCCCAGCCAACAATAAGGAAGGTACTTTTCATACCAAATATCAGAGTATATTTAAAATTCCAAATTGACGTGCTTACCAAAAAGTGTGCTGGGCCTTAATTTTTTGGCTTACTGGGTTTACAGTACAAAATGTTATTTTTGCATACAATGTACTTTATCTTTTAGTAGAACAGTGGAAAAAGGCCAGTGATCCCCAAGATGCTGCAGTTTTGTTTAAGAGGCATCTCTTAAAGGAAAAGGAGGAGAACCCCAAAATCACAGCTATCATTGACATTCGACAAGATCAAACATCCCAGAGCCGAGAGATCATTGCTTTCTACAAAAGACCACAGATTGATTGGGCAGGACCTTTTCGTTGTTCTTTACAAGGTAATGCTTATGGTGAAGCATAGATTCAGTTAGTTTCTTTAAAGGCTGTGTAACATTCCAACTTGGTAAATGAGAATTTTCCATTAAAGGGTGCTGTAAAGCAGTTTGTACCTTTACTTGTGTTGTTGTTTTTTTCTTTTTCCCAATTTTAAAATAGGTGACACAGCTGTTGGCACTGGGGTCCAGAGACACTTTTTCAGCATGACAATGCTAAAGTTGCAACATGGCTTTAACATCCATAGCGGTATGTTTCTATATCCTTTTCTTAATTAATGTGAGATGAGTTTTTAAAATAATCCATCGAAAAATTTACTCTAGAAATTAAAAAAAAAAAAAAAGATACCATTGAAGTATTTGCATCATGTTTGACAACTTCATTAATCAACTACTTACGTCAATAGATAAAGCTATAGCTTTTTTATTTTGCTTGTACTGTTCTTCTCCAGGTGCAGCCAACGTGACCCTTCTCTTTGAGGGACAAGAGAACCATCTAGTGCCTTCTACTTCTCAGATTTTGGCAGACAGTGACTTATTTGTGGTAGCAGGCAGAATGATTGGGCATTCATTTTTGAACGATGGGCCACGATTGCATGGCCTCAGCAAGGCTATTATTCACATGTTGGTCCATGCTGATAGAGACACTGTCACTGTCCAGCTCGATGATGTGCCAGATCTAGATATTCGTTCTACAATTTGCATGGTGAATACTAATTTACTTCAAGCCTTTGTGAAATCATAATTTAAATTAACTCATTTTTATATAAGTGTAAATACCCCCTTCAAGAAAATGCAGATTTTTTAGGCAATATATTTGCAACATACTAAAATGGAATTTTTCTCCTCTATAAGCTTGATGGTAATAAACACCTCACTGAGCAGCAGAAGGATGACATTAACAATTTGGCCATTTCCTGGGACTTGCCACCCGTCAGTGCAGAAAACCGCAGATGGCTGTTCCAACAGCTTCTCCATCATGCAGTAAGATTGCCCTTTAAAAATTGTTTTTAGATTGTCATCACCTAAGCAAATGTCATGTGGTTATTTTTAATTATTGTTTTAGGTGATAGGCCGAACTAAAAGGCAGACAAAACACATCAGAAAAGGTCTGAAGGACACCGGATTGTTGACTATGCTTCAACAAAGACCTGACACAGCCTCAGTGGTCTTTCCCCAGCATGAAGACAGCATACTTACTGCACAGGTATTTCAATGCATTTCTAAGATGCTAGATGGTATGACAGTTAATGCTGCTTTTAGGAGAGGCTGTAGCTCAGGAGGTAGAGCAGGTCATCTCCTGATCAGAAGTTTTTTAAGATCCCTGGCTAAGAATCAGTCCTTTTACCATTATACTCTAAGTGAGACAAAATGATTGATAATACTTTATTCATCCTGAGGAAAATTCTTTTAAAGGCTGCCAGATAATCCAGTGCCATCATGAGCACCCCATAGAATACACCATATATAAATGCCAAGTGTCGGGAAAAAGTCTCTTCACAAATTTAACATGTAAAAAAACTGTATTTAAGGCAGTTGCATTCTTAAGTGTGTCTCTGAAATCTCATTTTAGGCTGTTCTAAGCCACATTGTTTGGCCAGGAGATGAGGGCGATGATGAAGACGATGATGATCCACCTTACCCACTAAGCATCCAAAAGCAAACAGTGGGATTTCTGAAGGCCTACATTGAAACAGGCAAGTGTAATTGCATTGTGATTCAAAATTTGAATCTAATTTGATTTCTAATGCATTGATTATTTTCACAGCCACTCCATTCCAGCTCAGCCAGCTGATGAGGTTTTGGGTCGGGTGGGAAATTCCGACTGGTACCATGAAGGTTGAAGTAGTCAAAGCAGACTACCTCATATCCTCTACATGTTTTGGAACGTTGCGTGTACCTGGGCACTTCCACGAGTACAATGTCTTTTCCAAACATGTTGATGATTGCATTGCAACTTGTGCCACAGGTTTTGGCCTTATTTAAAAGCAATTTGTAGACACTGGATGTCGGATAAACTTTCCCATGCTTGAAAAATGTTTTACATAGCCAAAGGTTTGACTGTTACTTAGGCTTATTGATTTTTTGGGAATATTGTTATGTGAGTTTAAATATAAAAATTAAAGTTACAGTTCCCACCATTAACATTTATATTTGAAGTTAAGGAACTAATGATTGTGTTATTTAGGGTTCAGTCATTGTCATGCATCCAATTCACATCATCTCTTTGTTTGGAGCAGTTTCATGGTTTACAAGAGGTGAAAAAAAGTCGATTAATACCAAAGCCGTATTAAATGTTACACACAGGCCAATGCTGTTGAATATAATGTTAATAAAAATCTGCCAAACTGTCAGCTGTGGTCAAGCTATTTAATTACCGCATGCAGGACAGCTAACACACATCAAAACATTACAGTTCTACAGTCATGAGAGTTTTTATCACTTTCAAGCTGTTATCAATAAAGTCAAGTTTTGAGCTATGAAAATTGGATGATAATATTCCTGATTATTTTTGAGGTTGTTTGAAATCATTTTGTAAATCAAAGGAAATATGCTTGAACACCCCAAATTGAAATCCAGAAGTTGTCAAGGACATGGATTTGGAGCAGCAGTTATTGGACTTAAATACAAGTTACATTCTAGACTGGTTGCCACTCCATCAAAGTTAAGAAAAATAATTCTTGTCAGACTGTAAATAAAGTAGATTAATTGAATATTGCCTTTACAATTAAATAAAAATAGAAATCAGCAAGAATAGGCATGAGCATAGGCACCTAAACAAATTTTTATTGAAGCTATTATTAAACAAAAGACTTACATGAGAACAGAAAGAATTTATCATGTTACCTTTGCATTAACTGACAGATTATCAGGAAAATATAACTGTAAACTCATCAAACACAAAATGCATTAACATTAAAAACTGAAAATAAATATTGATGCAGACTTTTAGTAACTGTCCTTGGATACAAAAACTGATAATTCAACATAATGTAAACATCTGTTAGGGCATCTTATTTTCAACCATCACTCTAGATAAAGCTATAAATCCTGCCTGTTCTCAAGAATGGCTTCCACATACTGGACAAGGGAACTGTAAATGTCAGCCCCATAGGACATAGAGGGTTCCATGGGATTGAAAAGGTGTCTCACTCTTTCCAAATCCTCACTGTCAAGTGGAGACACAAGTTCTGGAAGGTGAATACCAGTTTGGTCCAAGTCTGCAATGTCCACATCTGGATACTCTGCCTGAAATTAGACGCCATCAATTCAGGAAGTCTTTAAAATACATGCTTTATTAATTTTGTCAATGATATACTTTTTTTTTTTTTTTTTTTTTAAAGCGATTTGAAGAATTTAGAGATGTGTAATCATACCACAATACTTTCAGGAGGATTGACTGGATTCTGAGTCTTTCCAATCTCCCATAGTTGGTTTGGGGTGTAGTTCCGCTCTGTCCTAAGAGAGTGATTGTTCCAGCCTTCAATAAACGTCTCCAAATCTGCTTGGATTCGTGGCAAAAACACATACTGTGCACAAAAAAGGTCAGTACAGTTTGTTGGATCCAAGAGTCTGTCTTCCTCAAGTCTGTGAAGAAGATCGTAGTAGATGTTGGTGACAACATTCCAAACGTCTCGCCACAGGCGCTCTATCCTTCAAAACAAAACAAAAAGAACATTTGTTTTTAAAAATCACTATACAGTGACATTCATCCTCATAAAATGAAATAATTTCCAAGCATTCTGTGCAAACAAAATGTTATGGGATCTTGTTATAATTTGAAGTAACACAGTAATTCAGTTTTAAACGTAATTTTGTTGCTAACACATTCAATAATTAACGCCAGAATACTACACCTGGCAATCAAAAATATGTTTTTGTTGTAAATCAGGAATACCTTTGGTTATGCACGCTTTTGCCAGACATAAAGCTTCCTCTACCACAGCCCCGAACTTCAAACATGTATCGAGCAATGTCAACATTCTCAACTCCTTGGTCTCCCCTCACTCTAGAAATATGAAAAACAAAGGACACAGAAATTACAGAGTATCACATTTTAGCAATATTTTAAAGTTAATCATTTAAAGAAAAATGTGAATGTTTTACATTCAACTGTATAATATTTTTAGGGCTCTTTGAGCTCTTATGCAGAGCTATATTTGTAAATATTTTCCCCAAAAGTACAATACACAACTAGCAATGTTAACTTGCAGAGTCAATGAAATGGTTGTTCTGTCACAGTCTGGCTGAGCAGCTGACTGTGTGAAGTATGAATAGTGGACCCAAGTGCAGACAAAAATGGAATGTGGAACAAAACTTGAATGTTAACAGAAAGCAAGCTGCTTCTTAAGGCTGGTAAAAACTATACAAAAGGCAGAGATGAAGCTAAACTGGGCAGACTAAAGATAAACATAAAAACCAAAACATGAAACCCGCCGTGGATACAAAGATACCTGAAACCTGGAGCGTAGAAGCAGAGACGCATGGAAACATGGCACAAACGACAACAGACAACATGACAAAGAATGAACAGAAACACACAGACTAAATACACACAAGTGTGATTACAGAAAATGAAAACACATGGGAAACAGCTGACACTGATTTGACATATTCGTCCATATTTATCTGATCTTCTACATTTGTACTACATTTGTACTCGCCCCCTCATACACTTCGCTCTTCTTCAGCTTCCCTTCTGTCTGTTCCACATGCTTGCCTAACTACAATGGGACTCAGAGCCTTAAGTTGTTCTGCCCCAAGACTTTGGATGTACCTCCACCAGATCTCCAGACCACAAACTCTTTCACCACTTTTAAGTCACATCTCAAAACCCATCTATTCAGAATTGCATACACCTGATTCTGTATTAGTCCATTTTAACTTGCTCAGCTTTTATACTGTCATGCTTGCTTTTTTCTTCTTTAACTTATGTCTACATTTTATTTGCAATGTTTCAATATATTGTATTGTTGCTATTGCAAGGTAACCTTAAGGTGTTATAAAACGTATTATTATTATTATTATTGTAGTATTTCTCTGCAAATAGAATACAAATGATAGGAAAATTCAATCATTTCCGGACAGCAAGCATGTGTGTCAGGCACGAATGTGTATTCAAAATTGAAGTGAGACTGATTTAAGCCTTTATGCTCTAATGTGAACAGCAAGTTTTTGCATTATACCTCGATGGAAATCCATGCTTCTGTACAGCCTCAAGGAAGAACGTCAGTGCTGTAGAAGCCTTGTTGTTGTTAGCTGCTTTCAAGTACAAGATCTGAAAATAAAGAGACATTATGGAAGTACTAGTACTAGCATCACATTTTCTGCTATTTTAGTGAAGAATGCAAACCTTCCTTGAGAAGCCATCAACACCACCAAACATCACAAGTCCATATCTGTAAAGAGACAAAGACACAGCCCCTAAGACTTCAGCCACTGAGTATAATTAATTAATTGCATTTTTCACCAATAATCAAATATGAAACATTACAAGTTAGGACTT